GCAAAGCTGAGCTCTCAGGACAGCCTTTTGTCCTGCAGGCCACTTGATCTGTTGCTTTTTCTCAGGTTTGGAATGGCTGGACTTGTTTAAAAATTAAAGTAATTGTGTCTTGAAGAGGAACTCAGGTGGGTACCAGAGTAATAAGAAAAGACAACCCCATTACTTGCCTCCCATCCCCCATGCAGAGAGGGCTCCTCTCATAGGAGATGAGATTTGGTCCCTCCTGAGATAAGCACCTGCCTGGCGGCATTGCAGCACTCATGGCAATTCTGATTGTGATTTATTTTTGCCTGTCTCTCTTTTTGGCTGTGAATACTAGGAAGGTATAAGCAGCACCTGTTGGGTCCACTGCTACTGGTTCAGAGATCAGAACAGGGCCAGCACAGAGCAGGCAGTCAGCATGAGTACTGGATGGAAATAATCACAAGGGGAGCAAGGGAGGAAGGGAGAGAGGGCAAATGACTGGGCTTTTGCCAATTTAGAAGATGAGGATGTAACTGCTAACGTCTGCTTCTCTTCAACAGCTTCAAGAAGGGTCTGCATGTGACCTTAAGTGATGTGCATTTCTTGTGACTCAGAATACGTACTCCCAGGTAAACACCACGCTCATCTCCCCCAGCCTGGCAGGTTAGGAGCTAATTCCATCTTCCCACGACCTCTATCTACCAACATTTCTCCAAGCTGCCCCACTTGTCCAGGGTGAGGAATGCCAGGCAGGGTGGCTAAAAGCTTGGAGGAAGAGCACAGTGGGCCAAGATCAAGGGCTGGCCCTGCTGGCCAAGGACAGCATGGCCAACCCTTGATCTTGCCAGAGGCCCAAACCTCCTGAATACGAAGTGCTCTGGCTATGGAGTCCCAGATTGCGTTTGCTCACAGCTGGCTGAAGGGTCTAGAAATTAAAGTGCTCTGTGTACAGCTATCATCCAATGCCTATCATCAGGCTTAAGGGGACATGCAGCCCAGCTACCTGGTCCCTTGGCTGAGATAACTCCAGTGGTGTATTTGATGTCATTTTCTAAAGCTCCTTGAGAAGGATAAAGCTCCAGCTGCCCACTCTGGGGCTGGGTGATAGTGTGCCTCGAGTTGGCTATCTTCCCTTTCCAGTACCATTCTGTACCTGGTGTCCCTGTACCTCTAAGGTAAAGCACAGGCCCTAATGCCCATCTCAGGCTCATCCTGGGGGAGCCTGGCATGCCCTTCCTCTTGGTCAGCTCTTCTCAGAGGTGCCCCGGGGGCTGCTGGTGGCAAACTACTCTGAACTTGTGCCAGTAAGCCACTGTGGGCACGAGTGCCCTGGGGTAACTTCAGGAGTCCCAGTGGTGTCCCCACACTCAGGAGGTCTTGGCTTGTCCTAAGACACCCTGAGCATGCAGAAAACACCAGGTGAGTGCAGAGATGTGGCTGGCTCATAAATCAATGCCTGTGTCTCTGCAAAGGGAACAGCTCGTGATCTGCAAAGTTCAAAGACTATTATTTTCTGTTGATCTTCCTTCATCCAAGAATGATTCCCCCAAACAATACCCTGGAGTTCAGTGCTGAGCAGCTGGGAATGGTTTCCTGTCTGCACACATAGATAAATATGGGTGACCTTCCTTTGTGATGGATTGGTCCTGAGGGCATTCAGATACACAGGAACCTGAAAATGATGTTTGGGTTTGTTGGGAGATGAATTCTCTTTCACACATATTAGGAGTCTCTTTTCTTTACCTTTGCTAAAGGGTTCTCTGCTGGGACAAAAATAATAGTCATAGTATTCACGATATAAAGGCATTTCTTGAACATTTATTACATTCTAAGCACTGGGTGAAACACAATGTTCTGTGATATTCAACCCCCATTGCAGACAAGGCAGTTGAGGCTTCTAGAAGGATCCGTAAACTGCCCGAGGTCTCACCTTAGGAAGGAGCTGAGCTCTAGGCTACACTGCAGTGTGCAGAGCCTGCTGCATAATTCGTAGGGCTCAGTACAATGTGAAAAGAGGCCCTGCACTCAACGCTTGAGAGTTTCAAGATGGTAACAACAGGTGATTAACCCACGAACCAGGTACCTCTGAACACAGGGCGTGGTGAGCTGTACAGGTCACACCCCATGAAGCTTTCCTTGGTTATTTGGGCTCAGAATAAAGAGAGGTGAGTGATCAAGCATTTCCATATCAGACCCGCCTTAGCCCTGCAGACTGAGCAACAGATCACATTACACTGCAGTCATCTTCCGTCAGGACCTAAACCGGCTCCCCTGACAGCCCTGCATAAATACCTCCCCTGACATGTGGGTTGTGGGGTGTGGGTCTGGGCCAGTCTACCAAGCAGGTGCCAGAGCAGGTGTGGCGGGAATATGACCAGAGAACTGAGGCAAATGTGGCAGGATTCTATCCACAGAGGGAGGAGCCATCCATTGAATGCTGAAACCAGAGGCAGGGACACTGATCCTGTCTCCTCCACCAGCCTTGTAACTGTGGGCAAGTTCCCAGACCCTTTGATGTCCGGATTTCTTTATCTCTGTGAGATAAAGATGGTAGTATCTACCTCTCAGAGCAGGACGTGGTACCCGGGATGATATAAAACTGATATGTGATATAAAACATGCTGATAGAAAGCTCCTAGCCCATGGTAAATGCTCAAGTCAGTGACACACTAGTCCAATGGCTGTTTTTACCATGAAACGTGTGGCATGGTTGGAGGAATATGGGACACGAAGGCAGATCACATACGTTGAATCCCAAAGGCTGTCCTGGATCTCTCATTTGTGTGAACTAGGAAACATCCCAGGGTCAGTGTCCCCCTCTACAAAGTGGGTGTGTACAATGTCTACAACACACAGGATTCTGTGAGCCACACTTATGCATCAAATTACGGAACTAGGAGAGGGGTTCATTTTATAGCCAGTGTTGGTTGCTATAACTTGCAAGGGTTTTGGGTAGAAAGGAGGCTCCTTTCCCCAAATCCTGCTGTCCTCCCAAATGCTTCAGGAGCCACCATGCCTGCAATTCTCTTACAGGGGACTATGGAATACAAGTGGCCTATTGTCTAAAAGGTTTTTGCAACATTTCCACATTCTTGACCCCAATTCAACGGATTTCATCTCAATACCTGCTCTGTAGCAAAACTCAGGGTGCTAAAAATGAAAACAATCAATCAGAACAAATTCTGCAGAGGCAGAAGAACCCACACCATGCACACATCCCAGTCTTCACGTATTTTTATGGGATAATGCTAATCATAAATCGATATTTGAGGTGGTTTATGTTTTGCTGGAGAAGCATCTATCCCTAACAGAATAGCTTCGTGTTTAAGAAATTCAAGGCACATAAAAAGTCCATTTTTCTTTGAAAGTATGACACATATATAAAGTAATAAAATCCAACATTCCTTCCTAAACTTTACGGAAGGGCAATGCAGGAGGAAAAGTGGACACTGTCTAATCGTATATACACATAAGAGACAGAGACATGCCTGCTCACAGCCACCTTGCATGGGACCACTGTCATTAACATTTAGAAGACTTTTCTGGCCCATCTAAATTCTAGTCACTCACATACGGGACGGGGTACCACAGACAAAATCAGGATTCATTCTTCTGTTCTGCTCAAACTCTGGCCTCTTTAATGATTTTCCCTATAGGTTCTCCGAACTTGTTCTGTGCATCTGCGTGTTAAGAAGATTTCTGTAAACGTCAAACTCAAATCCCAGGCTCTCTCTCACCAGAAGTGATCTCTCCTACTGAGAGAAGCCCCGTGGACAGTCAGCCCTGAAGTGACCTGACCCACCCTCACCTGTCCTCTCTCCTTCCCTCCAGCCTGATACCATTTCTCTGCCTCTAAACACCCTTTAGCGCAGTGAATTCACGCTCACTGTTACAGACTTCAGAAACTGGGAAGGGAAAGGGTTGCTCCTGCCCAAGAGGGTCGCTCCTGCTTGAGAGGATCTGGAGAAGTGCATAGGGACCCACCTCCTAGAAACTGAAGGGAGAATTTAAGCATCTCGCATATAATTATCCACCTGGTCGGCTGAGAAGGTTACCATGACAACACTTCCAAAGCCTCCTGTATCTACAAGCCATTGATACATCCCATCAATTCAGTGAAAGGGGAAAGAAAAAATGGTCAAAGCAATTCTCAGGCTTCCATCTCTCGTCTGGTCTCTGCTGAACGACGACTTTACTTATTTATTTGAGTGTAATGTAGATGCTGCTATAGTGTTACTGTTGACATGGTGTTTTTTTCCACTCAAATGTATTTTAAAGCTTCAAGTCAAAGTCTAAACTAATGGAAATTTTTCTATTTTATTCTCTACTTTCTCAAGCATTATACTTAGAAGTAACTTCTGCTGCTGGCCATAGAATAGTTTAATTAGTATGTATCAGACTTAAAAAAAAAAGGAGCTCTAAATTCTACAACCTTCCCTAATAGTAAGGTTAAACAGAGGGAAAAGACGGCAGGAGCTCTGCGGTAATCTTGAGTGATTTCCATAATAGGAGGAACGTGTATTCTCAGAGAGGGAGATAAAATGTCTTGCCTTTGGCTCTTTGACTGAAAACTAATGGCTTCTTCATGCTCATCTTCTAAGAAAAGGGGAAAATTTCTACCTGTTTTGCCAAAATAGTTCTTATGAAAAGGCAATTATGTAAAGAAATAACAGGAATGTGTAGTGGGAACCCTGTGCTCATCAAAGACCAACTCCAGCACAAAGTTCAGCCTCGGGCCCTCAAAGGGATAAGGTAACGTGGTGCCCAGCATCAACTATGTACCAGACAATTCAGTGGTGTTCATCCTTGGAGAATCACCATCACAGACCACGGAAGATATTTTCGTAGCTTGCAGCATCCTGGTCATGCTCTGAGCTTTAGCCTTCCTACTCTTGTTTCTATGCAGGGGGGTAATGTGACAATATGGACGCGCGCCAACAAGTTGGAACAGCAATAGAACAGTCTCCCGAATCTCTAAAGAACATTGTGCGCCACCTTCCCAGCCATTATGACAGCAGCAAGCTGACTCAACATACCTGTGGGTGACCCTTCCATGACGTGGCCGACGTAGGGCCCTTCCCGAAAGATCGGCCTGTTGTCATTCTGATCAATCACGATGACTTCCAGCGGCACTGGCCCCTCGAGGGTTTTGCCGTTGACATCTGTGGTCTCCACAAACAGCTATTTGAACAAAGAGATCGGGGGAGAAAGAAGGCATTAATCCAGTGTGAAAAGTGAAATCAGGTTCTCTGGGAGATGTGTGTCATATCAGCAATTTTATGAGTCCTTGGCAATATCCAGACTTTGGTCTCGGTGAACAGTCACTGGAACCAGAATAGAAACTAAAACGTTCCAGAGTAAAAGGCAAAAACTCATTCATGTTAGATGCCCTTTGGTAAATGTACAATTAAGTCATCAAATCTGCAAAGAAAGTTAAAAAAAAGAAAAAAGGAAGAAAAACCAAAACAAAATTTGCAATCAGCCATAGCTGAGAAAATGTGCTTATGTTGTTTCTGCTTTTCCAGTATCATTATGCTTAAAAATAACATTATGCTAATAAAAATAATTGACTAAGCAGTTATAAAGTGAGTACATTAAGAGATAACCAACAGTGTTCATGGCAATGTTTGGGAGAAATTCCGGATGGTGAGGATTTGCAGAGGGCCTTCCCGCAGCAAGAAACAACATTTGCGGGGCCTGAAAGAGACCTGGGGATTCCTGTCAACCAGGCCTGTGATGCCTATTTTATATCAGGAGGATTTCACAATTCCATGAAACAATTCTATACAGACCACCTTCAGACCTCAAGGGAAAAGGCAGCATAATACACAGTTTATTATTTGTCCTGGAAACAAGGGTTTGTGGCCCGGCATTTTGGTGAATCATAGCCACCTGACATTCTCATTATTTGTGCCTAATTCAGCCTTGATTTAGCACTGACTGTCACACTTCTTGGATATAAGTGGAGATCTCTGCATAGAAGGTGACAGAGTATTTTGGTCAGAAAAGGGCATCTGCATTTAGAATCCCAGCACAACTCTTCACCATCTGTGTGACCTTGGGCAAGACAGTATCTCAGTTTGCTCATCTGTAAAATGGGGTTAATAACAATATCCAGGATTTGGAAAATAATAACCAACAACTGTCTTGTGTTTACTTAGACTCTACACCCTATTAACTCATTTGATCCTTACAGCGACCCTAGGAACCATTTTACAGACAAGGAAATGGAAGCAAATAGAGGTTAAGGGGTGGATTTGACCTTGGGAAGTCTGCTTCCAGAACTCACATTTTTAACTGCTAAAGCATTGAATGGAAGGCCTGCTACATAATGTATCTCAAGAATAGTAGCAGCAGCTATTGTTGCTACTGTTATAAGTACTACTGTGTTTCCCCCAAAATAAGACCTACCCAAAAAATAAGCCCCCAGCAGGATTTCTATGCATTTGTTAAATATAAGCCCTACCCTGATAATAAGACCTAGTGATGGGCATGGCTATGCAGCGTATCAAGCATTTTGGCATGGAGCAGTAAGGAAGACTGGAATACATTTTATCTGCCACAGCTCCTTGTGGTAACCGTGGTCACAGGCATCCTATTGCACATGTGCGAATGACTCAGGGAAAGGAATTCATGAATCACTAGCGCCAGCCCCACCAACAAGGTCGGCTCCCCCTGTCAGGTTCCAGAAGAAGATGACTTAACTGCATTTGAATAAATGGAGATTGTTGTATTATACTTAATAAAAATAAGACATCCCCTGAAATAAGCCATAGTGTGTCTTCTTGAGAAAAAATATAAGACAGTGTCTTACTTTCGGGGAAACATGGCACTATAAACACTAGCTCAAGTTAGGAAAATGAAAGAAAAATATTCTTGCTACAAATCAGTCTACTTATATCCCTACCTGACGGCATGGTAAACCTATATGACCCTTTTTGAAAGCAGCTGGCAAAATTCAACACAAGCCACTAAGAACTTGTATACTTTGTTCCATTTAGTTAGCACATCCGATCCTATTTGAGTTGCATTACATACATGAAAATGTA